AATAGTGACATATATTTAGTAGCTTGAAAACTCTTCCATCAAGAAAAATTATAAATTTCGGAATGAAACACCAACTATATATGAAAATCTTTTCAGGCTAACGTAACTTCTAATATGTAACCTTTTCATGTAAAATTGGTTCTCTTCCGTGGAAGAAAGCTTATATCTACTCTCGATATTTTTGTTCTGTTAGTCAAGTGACCATACTGTTAATTTATTGTCACTTCTGATATTCAAGTGTAGAAAAGAGAATGTCTGATGGAATGCGGGATAAATTGTGCTGAGCTTGTTCATGTTTCTGGACAAAATCTGCACTTGTTTTCACAAGGGTCTTTGGGGGTGCCACCCAAATGCGGTAAAGGCGTGGGTACCACCCACGTACATGTGGTAAAGCAACAAGGGAAACTGCAACGCAAGTCGAGTGTGTCAACTAGTCGTAAAAATTTGCGATTATTGAAATTCTCAAGAATGAAAGCATAGAACTTCACAATTTAGTTCAGAATGTGGAATTTCTTCAGTGCCGGGTACTAATTCTTTACATGACGTCATAATTTCCTGTTGCCTCGGATAAGTGTCACGAATTTATGAAGTGAGGCTAATTTTTTTGCTTCGTCAAGGAGAGAGCATCATAGCTGCATGATGTGTCTGGGAGGGAGGCTGGTGTGGCCCCATCATCACTACAAAGGTCTTACTGTACCGTAGCTCCCTCTTCAGTCCCAGAGAATGACGCCTTAGTCATGCTTCGCTTTTTGTTTGTTCAATGTACGTTGTTCTTATATCGTAATTATTCAGTCGTAAATTGAAGTACAAAATATTCTTTCGTTAATAGCTAAATAGCTAGTTGCGGTAACAATATAATTTATCTGCTTTGGAGCGAATTTAGTATAAAATGTTCGTTGCACAGAAAAAATTATATATTTGTAAGCTGTGTCAGATAAGGCTAAAAGTGAATTTTGAGCACTCATTGCGCAGTGCTTATCTGGTATAAAGGCAGTGGTGGATTAGAAGGAAAGAACGATTAGTGTGTGTTTCTAAATGGAAACCAAGAACTTTTCATGATAATTGCTGAGCGGGCGCTTCCATTAAAGCCAATTTTTTGTGAAAGTAAAGCACCTGCTTAAATGGGTGGAAGTGAGGGCTGTTCACTTTCCCCGCGATCATTAGGAAGCGCGTTCATGACTATCAACACGTCTAGGTCACAATAAATCAGGCGAGTTCTATTAACTTGGGTTCTAGGTTTTCCTGAGTCGGATGTTTACGTTTTATGCTGCAGACAGCGCCGACATTTCTCGTGCGACAAACATTAAGATGTTTGTTGTATCGATGTCTCGAGTTCAGACTTACATACGATTATCGGATACATACTAACTTAGCTCAGTAGATTCTAGCTTCATTTCAAGGCTGAATTAATAAATTCCGCAATGTTTGTAATACGTTCAAGTTCCTGTTTTCCACAATATTATAAAATTGTCCAGTTCCTGTTAGCTTTCATTCATAATCATAATTATACGGTTGAGGAAGAGCCATTACAAGTTTCCACGTCCGTTTGTTTTTTCATTGAGGAATAGGGTTGCATACTTGATAACCATGAAAAGCTATGGTCGTGATTCGTGTCATTCTGTTCACCGATGATCTTGTCCAGATCATTTGCTGAAACCGATATTGGTCAAGAGTTTTTCCAGCAGTGTATTTTTCGATATTTTTGCTATTAGAGCTGTTTCAAGATGGACGAGATTGGCTGGAAACCCTCGTCTATGGGCGCACATTTACGTCGGCGTCTAGCTTGTTGGCATCCACTCGCCCTGGGGTATCGATTTCTGTCGAAAGAAGAGTACGCAGGGCGAGGGGAATAACCTCTTACACCAGTTGCCGGTGGTGACGTCTGTTGCTTGCCAAGGGCCACTTTTATTTGCGTAAATGTAATTATTTGAGAGTCGATCCTTAGTGTGCCATCAAATCGGATGCGTTGAAGATTTTGTCTGCATTTATTTGGTGAATTTTTTTCACGCAAGCTCATTATGCGATTCAATGCGCTACAAAATACGGGTGCTAAATCAATTAAAACACTAGTCTATGCGTTATCGTACTTGATTTGAAAGAGAATCATGCTGCGTGCTATATAATCATATAGAATTACATTTATTTAACTTTTAAATCAAACACATCCAGTATGGCGTCAAACGTTCGCTTCATGTACCCAGATATGCGGCAAATATTGAGGTAATTCATTCTGCACTGATTAATTTGGTCCATCAAACTATCTCAATGTAGATGGTTTGGTTTTTCCGAAATTTAGATCATAAACATCCCAACTATGAGTGCAAAGTGCTTTTTTGTATCAACCCTTTTGGTCTCGATTGTCGAATGAACCAATTAGTCTTATGCCAGTGCGAGCTTTCTTCAGATTTTGGTGCGACCAAATTTATGTGCTGAAGTGTGAGGATGATCAGGTAATTAATGGTTGAAATGAGGCGTGTCTCGCTAATTCGCTAATGCAGTACGTTGGGCGTGCTATCAGGCGTTGTCGGTAGAGCCATCCGGTACTGGGGAGCTCCGGATATTCTAGTATCGGGCGCACTTCTTATCTCTGGAGCTGTGACTTTCGTTGAGCTCTGTGTTGCACGATGCTGAAATATGGCTTAAAATTGTAACAGCTACTGCCATATGTTGCATATGATTTTTAACTTTAAACGTTATTGCCAAATTGAATTGATTTATCGTAGTTTTAACTTGTTCTCTGATTGCTATCACTTATTCTAGAGCCAAAGTAAAATGTGCAGTGAAATCGTAAGATACTAGTTAGAGCGTATTGTAATGTTGTTATCGGGGGATTTTTCATTTCATAGCGACATCTTTATATCGAAAACATCTCCTTCCACTTGTTGAATTCTCTTGATGGAAGTGCTTCTGCTGTTGCATCATCTTTATGTGCCATTTGCTCGATTAGGCAACCTCATTTAAACTTTCCTTCATTTTATTTCATTTGATTTGATGGTGAAGGCATACAAGTCCTCACCTATTCCAGTACGGTATATAGGAACTAATTACATCAACACAAGTGCACGGACATACTGGCTCTCATGTGACTCATTTGTCACATAAGGGCCACAGCGCCACTCGCTCATGTGATAAAACTGAGAATTTCACCGAACAACTGATGACCTCGACGCTCGATTTCTATGACTGGTTCTGGATGCCTGGCTCCAGTGCCGTCCGTCTTCCAGCTGTTTGACTGACCATACTTGGAATCGGACTAACACTGCCTTATGAACAAGCTTTGTTCTGCGCTCAGCGTGTAATTCCTTTGTAATATTCCATCATGAATTCGATGATCACTGATTAACTTGGAAAATTAGAAATATTTTAGAAATATGTGCAAGATTTTTTTTCGTATGGTTAGAAAAATCAGTAATTAGGTGGATATGATAGTGAGTCAATCTACAACTACCCAGAGCTGCAAGTAGAAATATAGGTAAAATATAATATTTTAACAACTTATCAAACATTAAACCCATCAGGTAATGAGGCATCGTAGCTCTTTAGTTATCACAGTGATTGGAGTTGAGAGCCTAAAAGGTAGTGACGACTGGATTGCTCATAGTTGAGTCGACGTGTAGGTATTCAGTCGGCTGACCATATTTCTAGGTAAGGTGTGCTCTAGTTAGGTTTGGCTGCGCCTTTTTTGGTTTGGTCTCGTTAGGGTTGAGGTGTCCGAATAAGGCGTCAACGATCTCGACACACTGAGTCACCGCACTCCTGCATCACTCGTCTCTCCTTCATCACGTCTGCGTCATCTACCTGGTACTCCCAAAGAAGTTCAGAGTTCAACCATTGAAGAAAAGAACCTGGATGTCATCAGACGTTTTGCACACATAGCTTCATGAATTTGCGATGAACATTAATGGATCCTTATTTCTGCACTGTCAGCTGTTCTGTGATGGATGTGTGGAACGCAAATATTGTCGATGGATAGAAAAAACTTCCGAGCCTAATTCGCGCTGCCAGCGCCTTTTTCAAACAAGATTATGGTCCAAATGAGGTTCAAAGTCAGAGATAATTGACCGGACCTCATTAAGCTCCATCCGCTTCAATCTATCAACTTCAAGCTGAAGTACACTCTGTCAGTGATTAAACGGGTTAGGTCGACGTTTGGTCAGTTGAAACCCATAGAAAAACTACTATTTGGAATCTTGTCCAGTCCACGTTCCCCGCCCAATAGTAGCCAATGTGAAAATTTGACCTTGCTTTGTTCCTATTATACTGTGAATTTTGTAAGTTTGATCCACATTTACTTGCTGTTAGGGTCCTGACTCTTTGCTGAAGAAGCCGATACTTGCACCTTCATCATTCATCCTCATCTATCGCCTCACTGCATCATTTATGCAATTTCAATTATTTACACTCGTATGTTGTTGATTCTATATTTAATATATTATAAATTATTCGTATGTTAATATAATAAGTGTGTTTTATATAATTTCTGCTCATTTCCAAGTCAAAATACAGATTTATTGATTTTTTTATGTTATTGTTCTGAAACTAAAGTACCTATGTTACATTAATTATTCCGATTCGATGCCATTTCTGCAGTTGAATTCCATTATCGTTTTATTTTGAATTCGATGAATTGAACAATTTTGTTATGGATTACGGAATCACCACCGTATGTCGATCTTGAACTGCAAGGGACTTTAAAGTTCATCTATTCTTTCAAACTAAATACGCCTTATAATACCTGGAAAAAACATTAAAATTCTATTTCTATTCTACCATCTACCTTACTTTTGTTTACGTGCGTACTTTAAGTGGCCTCTACTAATGCCTACAAGTATAATTTCAGTTTCAACCTACCGTGTATATGCTTTAATTTAGTTTACGTGCGTACTCTGATTGGTCTCTACTAATAGGTACTTACAAATATAATATCAGTTTAATTCTACCGTGTATATACTTTAATTTAGTTTACGTGCGTACTCTGATTGGTCTCGCTGTTGTTGCAGGCTGAAGGCGAGGTCGCTGCTCTGAACCGCCGCATCCAGCTGCTGGAGGAGGACCTCGAGAGGTCTGAGGAACGTCTCAACACCGCTACCACCAAGCTCGCTGAGGCCTCCCAGGCTGCTGATGAGTCTGAGCGGTCAGTTGACGAAGCCGCGGCTACTGCCGCATCGTCTCTCTTGTCTGGTAGCGCAGTTATTGCCGACGAAACCTACCCACACGGTGTCAGTACGGCTGCCAGTCTCTTGTCCAGAATTTCCCACATCGGCGCTGATGTGGAGAGATCATTCCAGGCTTTCCAGGCGGCCGGTACGGCTGCATTGTAGCGCGGGGCTTCGAGGGTATAGCGAGATCCTAGGCAACCTTAACTCAAACGCAGCTGTTGGGTGTTACATCTGACGTTATGCCTTGTACTTATGACATGAGACGCACTTGTTGACATTATTTCACTTGATAAGCATTATTTCACTTGTTACTTGCCATTTGGCTTGATACACGTTATAGACTTGATACACGCCTTCGACTTGATACACGCCATTCGACTTGATACACGCCATTTGACTTGATACACGCCATTTGACTTGATACACGCCATTTGACTTGATACACGCCATTCGATTTGATAAACGCCATATGACTTGATACACGCCAGTGGACTTGATACACGCCATTTGATTGATACACGCCATTTGATTTGATACATGAAATTTGACTTGATTAACCACAATTGACGTAATATGTATAGTACTTCACGTTCTACGTGACACGCCACACCTGACATGATTCTTCACCAGAGAAGTTGTTTGACTAAAATGAGGTTAGGTTCGCCTGGGATTTTCTTCCATTGGTTATACATGCATCTATATTGAGACGAATATATTTGTATGTATAGCCTGTACATACATTCAAGTCAGTTTTTAATGTAGAGTTAAACTCGTTATTGCGAAAAGACTGACTATTTTGCTCAGCCTGAAAACGTATATCCGTTTTAATATTATCCAGATCTAATGATAACTTTTAAAGTTTTAACTTAGGACTTCGAGTTTTTTATTCCATGACTGTATGTATGTTGGCACGACGAATTCAGTCCACTGTCTTTTAGAATCGTTATCGTTGACTCGTTATCCTTTCCCCTTCGTTATTCCGTGTCCCTGAAGTATTTTAAACTTTTTACGTGGCTATATTATATTTTAGTGGACGTACTATGAAACTCAATAATTTTCGTTTCAAATCTTCTCGTACCACGTGGAATTTCAGCAATTGCTGGTGAAACAAACAAAAACATAGAGCTTGTTCTACGGATTATTCTAGCTGACTTTTAGGACATCGACTCCCAGGACTGAACTGGAAACCTGCGGTGACTTGTCAGTCGTGTATTGTGTGCCTTAAAGCTTCGATAGTGAAAAGCCACCATTGCCTTCAACAAAAATCAAAATGCTTTCTACAATTTGCACCTTAAATTGCACCTCCTCCGCACTGAAAAAATGCGCTCGATTTCAACCCAAAGCGCCTAATGAAAATAATAATAAAAATACAATGTGACGTAAGGTTCAGTTCCGATGCAGTGACAGCGATAATAATGGTACTATTAGTACTGCGAATTTATTTTGAGGAGAAATGCCTCAGTCATAATTGAGTAATGACGTTAATGCCGCTAGTAATATCACGAGATCAACGAGTCAAGATACTGAAAATTTTCAAAAATTGAAATACCAGAGTCGACGTCACAATCCGATTTTTGAGCAGCATCCTTTTATTTGTCGTCTCCTGCAGTGGTGCCGACTGTCGTGCTGTAAACATGGGTAAGGTTTTTTTTTTACGGTGATACCTATTCACGCAATTGTTATTGAATCCCATTGTTTTCTCGTATCAAATACCAGTTACCGTTATTCGTTGTCAATTTTATGTGTCGTAATCGGTGAGTATGCTAACGTTAATAAAAAACCATGACTCACATGTCATGGTCTTGGCAGTGTTTATTCTTTCCTTTCGAGAGTTATAGTTTTGTTGTCTTATCTCGTTTTATTGTGTTGAAATTTCCTGGTACTTAGTATCTTAATTTATAATTTTTGGAGTACTGCTTTCCAGCTGACCTCATTTTCATTAGTACGACAAATCGTACGATCTAGTTTCATTGCAGCAAGGCAATCCACAGGGGAGATTGTTCACGGATTCCTTGTAAAGATCATGGTTCTCATGAACCCCATCATTATGCTTGCTGGCCATAAAAAAAATGTTCTGAGCGTTTTATTATCAATCGCTTGTTATCTTATCCTCTGGCTGATAAAGTTTATCGTTAGCTTACGTATCTGATAACGCGAGGTGAATTTACAACCTCTATGTTAAAACTAGTTCTATCCGTTAGAAATTAGCGGATATCATTGTCACTTTTGCGCTATTATTTAATTACTGTCATTTCTTTCTCGTATTGGTGAACTGGTAAATAGTTAATATAATATGTGTCCTAGACTTGATTTTAAGTTTTACCACCTGTAATTAATAGTGTCGTTTATTTGGCGGAGGAATAGTTTTTTCTAACCGGCGATTGTTTACTTTATTTAATAACTTAATTTAATCATGTGGAGAGTTTTGTCTGGATTTAAAACGTTCTATTTTGGGGTTCAAACGATAGCGTGCTCAAGTTAAGTAGCCTTATTAGGAAAATTCGGCGACAAACGACCTGTCGTCTGAGTAGTGTTTAAACGCGAATTCATTCTTTTCGTCAAGCAATATGCACTCTCCCTACACTTTTCTTATGGGATACTCTAAATTGGGCGGTCGATTCATCTGGCATAGGCATCTGGCAAGGAAGGAAGATAAAAAGCTTAAGCTCTCATTTTACTTCTTTGTATTGTAAACCACTAACTGATCTCGCTTTACATCCGTCGAGGGCTGTCTTCATGAGCCTTGCTACTCCCTCATAAACGCTCTGAATTTATCAGGGCGCGAAAATGTCTCGAAAACCGCGCCAACTTGGAAGACGACCGTCTTAGTATTCTGGAGGCCCAGCTCGCCCAGGCTAAGCACATTGCTGAAGAAGCCGATAAGAAATACGAAGAGGTATGATTGCTGGACGTTCAGTTGTTTAGCCGACTGCTCGGCCGTCCTGGGCAAGAAGGGTCTGTCTGTCTAGCTTGTCCTCTGCAAAATTAACGAAAGCCTCGAAAACATTCCACATTCTATTATACTGCCGTATAAGACTGCTGTTCTGATCAACTCAAGTGTAGAATGAGAACAAGCATGAATTCTTTGATCATAACAGCATTCTTATTACTTGTTTTAGCTTATGTGGCTTTCGTTATTTGGGCTTGTTGACTCTCGCAAAATTGCTGCTGTAATTGACGCTGAAAAGGTGTAAGCCTTAGCTTCCTTCGGGTTAAAGTCTGGAAACGTTTCGTAAATTCTTAGCATGTTCTTCCTGTTCTATACTACACCTAGAAGTGTTCTAACCCTTTGCCGCACTAGAAGACAAGTTTGTACAAATGTACATTTGCCATTTCCTTCCTATTAAATTGCATATCAGTTTAGCGGTAAAGGGTTCATGTCTTGCACGAATATATCGCACATGATTGTCTGCTCAAAAGGTAGTAGAAGGTCATGGTTCTTCACTAGCGTCTGTCTTTACCAATATATTCCTTATCGATCGGATGTTTGTACGGTATTTAAACTATAATTTCGAACGCAACCGTTTCTCTGATGTGACCTATCTTCACATGCTATTACTAACCCATTTTTTTCAGGTACGCGCTGAAATTTGTATTGCCTAAATTAATTTTAATTTGGTTTACAGGGTGGAGTTTGCAGAAAGTATTTGTTGAGCAACCGGGGTGAACTATATAAAATTTGTTCACGATTTGTCTGCAATTATTGTCGCAATTTTCATCGGGTTGTGTTTTTTTCAGTGTTTGGACATAATTTTTTAGGAGTTTCCGCTAGATGCTTTCAAGTGCTCTCACTTTCTTAGTACTCGATTTAAAGGGTATTCTCAATCGATATCACGCAGCATTCTCTCGAGAAACAAGAACTATTTTCTCACGAGGCCGCGTTTTGTTATTTCGCGAGATCTCGGCTAATTTTCTCCTAGTATACCGTTTTACTTATTCCGGAGATTGCATTTAATTTTCTCTCGAAACCCCATTTCAGATTTTCTCGAAACCGCCTTTCATTCTAGCCCCAAATCGTGTTTCATTCTCATTTCTTTCTTTCTCAAGATCGCCTTTATTATCTTCCTAGATCGTCCTTTTTGCTCTACCGAAGATCAATTTGGTAGGTATCTCATCTGTGAGCGCGTTTCTTCCTTTTCCTAGATCGCGTTTCAATCCCTCCTGAGATCACATTTCAATCCCTCCTGAGATAACGTTTCAATCCCTCCCGAGATCACGTTTCAATCCCTCCCGAGATCACGTTTCAATCCCTATCGAAATCACGTTTCAATACCTCCTGAGATCACTTTTCAATCCCTTCCGAGATCACCTTTCAATCCCTTTCTAGATCACATTTCAATCCTTCCCGAGATCACCTTTCAATCCCTTCCGATATCACATTTCAATCCCCCCCGTGGATTACGTTTCTGTCTCTCCCAAGATCACGCTTCAACCCCTCCGGAAATCTCATTTATTTCTCTTCTGAGTTCGCGTCGCTTTCCTTCCCATTTCGCCCCCACTCCCCTGTAACTCCCGAGAGGGGAATAGGGCGTTTCTTTTCCTACCGAGATCATGTTTCTTTCCCTCAAAAGATCGCATTTTTTTCCCTCAAAAGATCGCGTTTCTTACCCTCAAAAGATTGCATTTATTTCCTCAAAAGATCGCTTTCCCGGAGATCGCGTTTTTTTCTCTCCTGAGATCGCGTTTCTTCCTCTCCAGAGATCGCGTTTCTTTCTCTCCTGAGATCGCGTTTCTTTCTCTCCTGAGATCGCGTTTCTTTCTCTCCAGAGATCGCGTTTCTTTCTCTCCAGAGATCGCGTTTCTTTCTCTCCAGAGATCGCGTTTCTTTCTCTCCAGAGATCGCGTTTCTTTCTCTCCTGAGATCGCGTTTCTTTCTCTCCCGAGATGGCGTTTCTTTCTCTCCCGAGATCGCGTTTCTTTCTCTCCTGAGATCGCGTTTCTTTCAATCCTGAGATCTCGTTTCTCTCTCTCCTGAAATAGCGTTTCTTTCTTTCCCCAGATCGCATTTCTTTCTTTCTCGAGATCGCGTTTCTTTTTCTCTCGAGATCGCGTTTCTTTCTCTCTCGAGATCGCGCTATTTCTCTCCCAAGATTGCGTTCCTTTTCCTCCCGAGATTGCGTTTCTTTTTCTCCCGAGATCGCGTTTCTTTCTCTACTGAAATCGCGTCATAGTGTCAGCGTCCGTCCTGCCCTCCAATTGTTTCACGTGATACAGCTGACCTCTCGCGAACTCTGTGTCCGATTTCTCACTTGGTCAATTGAGATAAATAACCTCTCTTTACGAAGCCTCTGCAACGTAGAAGCCCATGGCATACTCCTGGTTCTACTCATTAGCTCGCTCTTCTCCTCAGTATGCGCAAGGTGCTGGAGAACCGCTCCCTCTCAGATGAGGAGCGCATGGATGCTCTCGAGAACCAGCTGAAGGAGGCTCGTTTCCTCGCTGAGGAGGCCGACAGGAAATACGATGAGGTGATCCTCAGCCTTTTCCGCTCCTTCACACCTACATGCCGTCGTTCGCTGTCGTTTTGTAACCCTTACCTAACCGTGTGCCGGTGGAATCCACCCATACCTGATTGCGTGATGTCGATGTTCTTGTGATCTGACTTACATATTTGTGGTGTTTTTCATTAGTGTTCTCCTCTCGATTAATTGATTTTAGTGCGTGGCTTTACTTAACGTGAACCAAGCAAGTGTCCAGAGTTGTTTTAGACAAATAATCTTATAATTTTTATTTGTCGTATCTCCTATAGATCATATTGGTAACGTGTAGGATGAAACATGCTAAAGCATGCTAACCTGTCAAACTTATGAAATGTAGCTTGTAATCACATTATGATTGAGGAAATAGCATACCTAATTTTAACACATACTTTTTATTCTGAAAATGATACGCATACTTAATCATAGTAAAATTTATACACTTTTGTCGGTATTATTTAGTCTGATAATTTATTCCAATTGAAGACTTGAGTGAGTTTAGATATACAAATATGACCCAAAACTACAACGTTAATCCGAAACGCAAAATTAAATGCTAAGAAAGCATTGCTAGAGTTCACATCTTTTTGTCGCGGTTTAAATCGGCGCAAGAAGAGCGCAATTGTTCTTTGAATGGCGCAGTTCGTACTATGATGGTTGGTCTCTGTTTCAAGTTCTGGTGTAAGCTGATTTCCATGAACATTCTTAAATCTGCTTCGATAAATTTTGTCAACTCTTTATTTCTTGGCAGTTTCAAATAATTAATAATGCCTCCTTTCAAGAATATTCGGCGTTGCAGTTGGCTTTCATGTTCATTTTTATTTATTGACGTTTTCCTGTGGTTTTCGTTAGATTTCATTTTGCTTGGTTGTGATTCATAAACTTGCTTCGCCTAAACTGCCCCGCAGTGCAGTGTTGCTTCTCTGTACTGCATTTCCTCTACATTACTTTTCATGTACAGAAATTTCTGAATGACTGGCTTAATAGAATGCTTTATTAGTACGCTTTAGCTTAGATTTTCATTTTTATAACTTATTATATTAGGCCGCTAAGTTTTTTCAACCTAAAGACTATAGTTAACAGCTGTTGAAGTCTTCATTACGAGAAACTTATTTCCTTTGAAGCGAGAACTTCTAAACTCATGGCAAACATTAGTTCTCGATTCGAAAATTTTCATGCGGAATTTATCGATTTAAATTTAGAATTAGTTCTTTTCATGATATACTACACGTCTTCTAATCCGGATTTCGCGCTCTCCGACGCATACTGTATCGCGGTGGACGTCTATAACTTTGTTCTTCACTTCTACTAAAATTCGTATTTATCTCATGATATGCACATTCTCGTGCCTGGTTTTGCTTCATGCGATAAAGAAAATAATTTATTTTCTAATAGAAAAAATTTATATCTTATAAATTACAGCCTTATATTTTCGACATCACTGCGATACATTTATATTTGATGACCGATCGTTTCTAGGATCGTTGGCGTGTACTTTTGCAATAAATTCGCTGCGCAAATTCTATGGACCTAAAATTTTGAGCGAAGTAAAGTTTAATCGAAAATTGATGATAATATTGGAAGGCGAGGCTAATTTGTTAACTCTCCTATGACCAATTAATTTGAGAAATTATTAATAATGTGCAATGAAGTAGATTTGTACCTTTTTTCTATTGTAATGAGTTCTTTTCACGTGTTATTTGCTCCGGCTGTCCTGCTTAACAAATTTGAAGGCCGAATAATATGGCAACGACTTCTTCACGTGGCGAACGCTCTGCTCTTTGTATAGTTTTGTTGCTGTGCTTTTTCCTGCTATGCTGTCTTAATTAAGGTTATCAGTCTAAGATGCGATACATGCAGTTAACTGTTTTATTTTTATTGCAGTTATAGCGGCTTCGTAGCATTAATTAAATTTAATTTTGCTAATACTTTTTTTTCAAAACAGGCGCCATCTCGTACACACCGGCTGTTGATTTCCTTTAGCTTTTTCGATTTGTGCATTTCATTGATGTTGTTTAAAGTTTTATTGCTGTACATTTTAATGAACTTTTCGCCTGGTTACGTTTTTATAACATCACTAATTTTTCTTCTACAACTGCTTATTTTTTTACCTACACGCTGTTCCAAAATCCGAGCACCATTTCCACTGCTTTAAAATATTTTTTTTTTCAGTTTTAATCTTACGTTTAAATGTTCCTGGTGCTCACTTGAATGTTGTGGCGTGGTTTTTATAACATTACAACAACTTAGTTTGGGCTTTGCATTATGTATCGTTTGTGAATTAATATTAATTAACACAAATAATTATTGATAAACTTCTTTTTAATAAGAGTTAAATTTTCTTTTTCAAATTTATTTTCTGCACGTAATGAAAAACTTATTCGTTTCATAATGGAATTCTAGAGATCATTGTTTTTTTTTATTCGTGAGGCTTTCCTTCACGGGTGTTTGAATGCTTGCAACCTAATTAGTGCATGACCATAATCTAATCTAATTCGTAACTATGTTTTTCTAATGAAACAATCTGATAAAGCTGCATATTCAATGAATTCTTGCCAAATTTTCCAAGATTTCGTCATACTGCCAAATTGTTGTTCTAATAACTTAGGAATATTGCAAAGATTGGTTTTATACAGTTTTCCATGATGTTGAGTTATTTCATCAAACCTTATAAGTGGTATTTTCAACTATCAGTTTTCTGGACATTGCGAAGAGTTCATTGGTGAGTGTTGATATTTAAAAAATGAGTCTTTATAGTTTGTCGAATATATATAACACCATAATATATATTATGGTGGTATACATACCCTATTATATTGTGGGTCTTAGTCTGCAATTTTTGTCACTAAGTAAGTGAGGTTAACATGATGTGTGTGGCTCAGGTCGCCCGCAAGCTCGCCATGGTTGAGGCTGATCTGGAGCGCGCTGAGGAGCGCGCCGAGACCGGCGAGAAGTAAGTTTTCTGCTCTACGCTGGCTTATAATTTTAATGATCATATATTTAAGTTAGGCTGTTTCTGGTTTATTGTTTTTGTTTGAGTGTACGCCTATGTTATTTTACTTATTTGGACTTTCTCTCTACAGCAAGATCGTCGAGCTTGAGGAAGAGCTGCGTGTCGTCGGCAACAACCTGAAGTCTCTGGAGGTCTCCGAGGAGAAGGTGCGTTGTTTTATTTTCTGAGTCGAACGTTACTTTTTTTACTCAGAATAGTTATTGCAAACATCACGGCAGAAGAGGCCGGTATTGGAATAGTTCACTGAAGAAGCTGTTCTTGAATAAGTATTTGGTGACAAGATTATAGAAAAGACTTGAAATTTCGAGAGAAACTCTCATGCCTACAGTATGTAAGAGAATGAAAATCGCCTCTTGGAGGTTTCTGAACTCTTTCAATAAATGTATTTCGCATTGTTACTCTGAAAAGGTATAAACAGGAAATACCTGTTTCCTAAGTTGGAGGATTCATATGAATATATTGATTATGTTCTATCTAATCATTAGATTTTTCTCCTCCTTAGCTGAGCAGGCCTCTAAAGGAGTGTTTATCAGGAGTATACTTCTGCGTTAAATAAATAGTCTGCAAACTTCACTGTTAATAACATTTCTTTTTCAAAATTTGTCAATTTTTACGAAAATTTTGTACTCCTTTAATTCGCCTTCCTGGAGTTAACTCATCGATATAAATCTGAATAAGTACATTCTCCAAGCAGTAGTCATTGTATGGAATACTTAACATACTAGTCAACATCAACAATCGAACATTTATTCTCCTCGTCTTTGGATCAGTCGTGTATACTGTAAGCAACGGGATTTTATTTCACATTAGTAATGTTTTCATAACATCCGTCGCTATCCATCATCGGTAATGAATGACTGCATCCGTTGAATTCCGAAGAAAGTTGTAAGTGATGTTAGTTGATGTGTTGTGCTCGAAATTAACTGTGGTTTTGATTCAGGCCAACCAACGCGAAGAGGCATACAAGGAGCAGATCAAGCAGCTCACGAACAAGCTCAAGGCGGTAGGCTGCTGTGACCGTCGAATGTGTTCCCTCCTGTGCTAATGTTTTCTTAGTTTACTTCCCGGTCTGACTTCATCCTTCCAGTCGCGTCAATTATTAATATTGTGTTCCATGAATATTGGCGTCTATCGATGATGAAAGTAGACTGTGACTAAACGCGGAAACCGCTGAGCGGCAGGTGATGTTCTAAAGCTCCGTCCTGCTATAACTTGATCAGTATTGGACTCCTTCAACAGACATCGGATTTGTTCGATTTTGTAGTTATCTGATTCTTCTGAAATGCCCATCTGGCCGAAATTTTACCGCCCAAACTCTTCTGCAGTAATTCGGTGTAACATATTTTATTCGAAATTTAATCAATCCATTTTTTTGCAATCATTGCGATTTAATTAATCTGTGAAATGATGATACAATTGGCAGTAGATCAGCACTTGCCCCTCAGTTTCTCGGACGCCTAGTAGCTCAACATGCGCCCATACCTCCTATTAACCAAGTGTATTCGTCCTAACAGCAAATCGGTGTGAATCTAACTTTTATCTTTCTAGCTTTATGTCCAGCTAGGTTTATTCTTTATAGTTTTTCAGGTTCGAAGCGGTGTTAAATGTTTTTTTCCTGTGCGTGAAATTTTTTCAATCCATCCCTGTGAGTTGGTCTTGTGTGGAGACCGTAACATTACTGACCATGTTTCTGTGTTCTATGCTAACCTGGCAGGCGTCCCAGAGAGAAGAACACTTTGATCTCAAGACCAGAAATATGGCCAAGTCCTTGAAAGAGGTAAACTCGATCGCATACTTTGCAGCCTTAGTAAATCCTGGGACACTGTGTTCCTTCTTCACCAAATATTTCTCTTTCTCTCTTGAAACACGGCATCTTCCACTGCTCATTTTCATATCTCTATCTTCTGAGTTTTAGGACAGTTTATACACCGTAATGAACTTCCCTCATCTTAACTAAATATTTTTATTTCTGTGGGACTAATATTTTTTTTTTACTACCTATACACTGACAGATAACAGCGTTCTCACTGGTCGACCCGGGACACGTCACATTTCCACAGTTGAATTTTTATGTTTTTTTAATCCGCTTGATTATTTGTGGTCGTTCTTCATTGTAGGCTTCCCAGCGCGAAGACACGTACGAGGAGCAGCTTAGGGATTTGACGAGTCGCACTACCGAGGTAGATGATTTATTCCATTCAATTTAAATAATCGTCACGCCATGCGTGCACTCAGAGCTCTCCTTGATTAATTGCTTCGTCTCAAAACTTGGGTTTGATTGAAAATCTTCCCTCTGATCTTACACTGCGGAACCTACCGGTGGGAACTTGGCTGCTTCTTGACTTTATGTGCTTGCCATCAATGCCTACTATCATGGGATTACGGATCTTATTTTCAATTTTCACGCTCTCTCGATCTTTACGCTACAATCATAACGTCAAAAAATACGCTCTTCCGCTTTTGGTTTTCTTGGATTTGTTCTTCTGGAGCAAGCTTTCCGCCTACCTAATAGACTTCCTCTTCGTTATCTACATCATTTTATACTCGTATTCTGTTCTAATCTAAGCATGATGTAGTCACTTTCTCACAGCTCGTATAGTTTGAACTCTATATTCTATTGCATTAAATGTCATTCAACAGAAGCAACTGAAAATAAATCTAATAACTTAATTTAATTCAAACGCTAATTCAAACGCGCACCGCGAATTTTTAACAAAATTTCAAATTGACTTATCTAGAGATCAAATATGGTTAAATGAGTTGCACTTTCCAAATCGTACATTTATACATATCTTAATTTAGAGCTTCAGGTTCGTGAAATTTGTTATCACGAATTCAATTCAAATTTTCTCAATAAATATTGAGCCTAGGCTCGTTTAATAGATATAGCATCAGGCTAATTTATTGATGTCTCTCAAAATAACTAGTTTGAATTATCATTTATAAGCGTCCTCATTTACACTCATTGCCCTGACACCCTAGCCTGATTTTTCTATTCGTTTCTCTTTCCTGCTTTTTCGCTGCAATCAATGATTTTACTTCGCGCTTTCTATTTCTCTGACGTTTCTCAATTTTCCATATCACGACAATCGTTCGTATTCTTTTACGCATCAAGATTTTTCTCTCCGGTGTTCAAAAGATATACAAATGTGCATGCTTCGTGTCTAACATCTGTGGTGTACTTTAATATTGGTGTACATAATATATTGTTGGTGACATGTCCTTAGACGGCTATTTAATACTTTAGTTCATGTTCCTATCTAGTTATTTGTATTACGTCTCAGACGAAATGCGCTTCTCTTGAGCTGGCGCCATTTTGGAGAGTTGCATTGAATGCACTGTAAATCTCTGTGATGAAATGTAGACATAGAACGAGATGCGGTACACACCACTATATAAATAAATTAAATTAATTGCTCGTCTCTCGATTGTATCAATGAAGTTATTACTGAATTTAGAGCGCTCGGGTTCAAAGTGCTTTACTCTAATATTATCGTCCAATTATGCACTTGACGGAGTATGCGCTAGCATTGTCTCGCCAATTTTCCTCATCCGGCGTCAGTCCCATGTTCCATGCTTTGTTTGCGACACTGATGTATTGTTGCCTGTGATAAGCTATTCTTAAAAAGTTGAACTAAACTCCTTCAGAATGGCCCAGTTCTCGCGAGTTATTCTATTTTGCATAATTTCAAATTAATAATTACACTGTAAATATGAAATAATGTTTTTAGGTTTTGTCTAACGGGAGGTAAGTTGCTGCAGGTAAGGGTTCAAATTCTGATATTTATATTCCGAATATAACTTTTTGGTGTCCGTTATGAATTTTTAATAATTTAAATTACGAAGTGTAATATGAAGATTGTGTATCAATTTGAAATTAATTTTTTAGAATTTTCACCTAATTTTGGTTTGCTTATATCTTAGTAATAGATTCAAGCTGAGTTTTAGTAGTCATTGTTGTGAGAACTGATGTGTTGGTTATGCACGAAATTTTAGTGTGTCTGTGCCCGTCGCTACTCAACTGTCCCCCCTACAGGCCGAGGCTCGCGCTGAGTTCGCCGAGAGGTCCGTCCAGAAGCTCCAGAAGGAGGTCGACAGGCTCGAAGGTATGAGCTTTGCTTCTTGTCCATCACGCTGCGGTCATCACACGCTTGTTTTCTCTTCACTCTACACGCACACACTCCAATGTTGACAGCTGCCATGCATTTATCACTTCCCTACACACACGCGCACACACTTTCATCGTGACATCTGCCCAATCTCATTACCCAAGTTCTCATTCTGCACTCCCTCTTACTTCCATTTTGACCTCTACCCTCCTAACGTATTGCAAATCATCCTACTAACCCCCACCGCTGCCATCATAATATTAACACTAAACATACATCATTTTATCCTCTCCACATGCCTACCTGTCTACATTACACTAACTACCACACATCGAAGCATGCCGCATTCAATAGACACTCGATCCTCACACGCACCGTGACTGTGTGCCGCGGTGATTATGTCACGACGCGGACACAATATCTCGTATCTTTAACCACCTTACCAAACGTATTTTCTTTATGATTTCATTTTTTGCGATTCTCAACGGATACATCATTCTCCATCAATTAAAGTGTTAGTTACATGATCATTCTGTAATTTGTAATTTTGTCATTCGGTAAGTCACCTGCACCTCTGCCTTGCATCTTTTACCTTCCTATCTTCTTATCATCTTTTTAATTTTCCCATACCTTTGAGGTACCGAAAATCAACTTTTTCCTATTTACTTCTTTTCAATCAATCAATGGCTAACACGGATCAATTTCAAGACCAAATAATGTTTGTTTGGTATACCTCAGTGCTAAAGTGAATTTACTATCAGTTCTATGTTAATATTTGAATCAATAACCTCAATTTGACTCGTGTTAATGTACGATTTCCTTTTCATATTTATCTTTAAATTCATTTTGTTCATGAATATACTTTCGATCGCCAATTTAGAGATGAGATTTGGGCAACATCCAAATATATATAAAACTAAAGAAATGTGATTGAATGCCCGACTGAACGCAATTTTTTGCTTTTGAAAGTAACTGTTATTAAACAAGTAAAACGAGAGAGAACGCATTCTAGCAGGCGTCGAATATCGGACGGCTGATTTTTTCTTTCCGGTTTTTCGATTGCAAAATTGGGGCAAGTCATTTCGATTTATCTCAGCGCTAAAAGTTCTTGGAAGTTATTTCCTACTTATAATTGAAATCAATTCTATTGTCATTAACGATAGATTTTTTCATATTCAGCGTCCAAGTATAATTTTCCCTTCTTGTCAACCTTTGACCCTACACAATTAGTTTCCTTTATTCCACATCCTCCTCGCCATTACTGCTGTTTACCCGCCCCCTCACAGCAGTGACAAGAACAAAAGCATCTTCAAACTGACAGCGAACTCACCTTAGGCTTAATTTTGAGTTCTTGTATCTGCTATGCTAGTGTTGAGATATCATTCCAACAGTTCGGTGTGTTATTTTTAGTTTGCCAAAATTGTTTTTAACGTGAAACATTTCTTTTTACTATGACATTGGTGTGACCGGCGCCTAATTTTCATATTTTTAAAACTGCCACAATTTTTAGTGTGGCCAAGCTTAATTTACTTTACTTACTAGCCCAGAATCGCTTACCTTTTAACTCAAAAATGTTTCGTAATTTTTGATGCGCTTTAACAATATATTAAATCTCTAAAATACATTCGTCAAGTGATATTTGTCGAGCCACAAAGGACGGTTCACATCGGTAAGAAAAGAAGACTTTTTTTTTTAAACTCGTTTCCACAAGTCGTGAGTGGTCGCCGCGATCTCAAAACACAATCGCAATGTCGTAGGCGTCGTACCGGTCGCGTTAAAAATTCCAAGGCCTGGCCTTGAACGACACGTGTACATATGTTGCAATATGATGCTCACTGACGCATCTTGGCACTGCTATTCCACGTATTTTGTACAACCCTGAATCCTACCGTGAGTGAAATTACACCTCCCAGCCTCAGAAATAACGCTTCAGTCGCTCATTCTTCTCCTAACTTGTTCCCTACCACTCGTTCTAAGTTGCATCTTCGTTGACACAAACAAACCAGCTTGTCACGGTCCATTCCCGAGCTCTTGCAGTATTATACACGTATTCTTCCTTCGCTCATTTGTTCATTCCAACTTCAGTTCTCTTACAAACTCATTTACCGTTTCTTGTCACCGTCAACTGTAACATTAAATAATAGGCACTGATATACTTGCTTCTATGATGCTGTTGAATATTTCTTTATAATTTGTCAATGTTTCACGTAATATTCAGTTGTTTAAGATTCAAGATTTGTGTTCAATGGATTTAATTGAATTTATTTCAATCGAATATTTTTCTTATTTTTTTAGTTTGATTTTAGAATGTTTAGCTGCGCTTGTGAATGTTTTATGTTCGTGGCTACTGCCTGACCAACGGTCATTTAGTTGAGCTCTGTGCTTGAATGTTAGCCTTTTGCGGTAAAAGTTTAACACAGTTAATAGATGACTTTAGAACGGAAGTGTATCTTCCTGGATTTTTAACTATAGCAAGAAGGTCCGACTGTTGGAATTGGATGTCGAGTGCATTTTGCGTTCTTTTTCGCGTTTTTTACGTCTGACTTGTACTTTGATCAGTTTTTTTATGCTTTTTGCTGAGGTTTCATTAGTTATACAGCCGGGAATAAATTTAGTCGGAGCCGTGATGGCTGTAAAGTATCGGTCACTGAAGCATCAGCAGCCAGAAGAGCGCCGTAGCTGAACAGATCCCTCTTAGTTACTTGCAATGGAAGCCTGGTATAATTATCCTTGCGCATTCCTCCCTTAACATCTCTTCACCCTACTTGTCACGGCTAATTTCTGATCAGATTCTTCAGAATCTGTTATGTATATGCAAATCAGCTTTTTGTTGTTTTTGAAAGAGCGTAACTATAGCTGATTTATCAGCTGATTTTAGCTGAAAGTAAATAGGAATTTAAAAAAAGAGTTCGTTTTGTGTGCATTGCTCTGTTATCGTCGTTGACGTTGTCGTTGACGTCGAAGTGTGGCAAATATGGTGATACATTAGTAGTTGTATTGTTGACAGTGCCAACAAGTTCCCTCCATACTCTCAATTACACGGAACACTTCCCCAGCAATGTAGTTATTTTCGGGCGTGAACATGAACTCGCTCATTATTACTGTATCGAAACTGTTGAGATTATTTATATCTCGCTTTTCATCTAAAGATAGTGACTAATCACCAAGAACCCTCTTTGCAAGAATTGAACTACAAGCGAACCTCAAAGTCAACCTTTCAACCTTTCTCGAAAATACTTGCCGGTTTCAATAAAATTAATGTAAATTTTAAATTATATGTGAAAAATGTGTAAGAAAGGCAATACCGGCTTTCGTGACATTCGGTTCTCATTATACATTAAAATTTTGTTCTAGCCGTCCTATATATTGTATATATAACTATCGGTTTATCTTTATTAGAAGCCAGATTTTCCATTCCATTATGATTAACTTTGTAATCTAGGTTGTATGCTATTTACCGTAATGAACGAGCAATGACCTAAGGAAATGAAAGGTCCCCGGCGTGTTTGTTTTCGTGTGCGTAAAATGTTTTTTTTTTGTGTGATTGAAGTTTTCAATAACCAAATTTGTATGATAACCTTATCTTTTTATGTAAACTATATCCTGGCAGTACCGACTCTACTGAATTATTCTGTTTTTCTTTTACTTTGCATGTGTGTTTTTTGTTTTGTTTGCAGATAGTTTAGTGGCTGAAAAAGAGAAATACAGGGTACTTCAGTCGGACATGGAGGCCACCCTCCAGACCATTCAGAACATGTGAACATGTGTTCCTCAAATGATAAGCTCCGGTCACAGCACAGGTCTGCTCTATATACATTAATTTCTCAGTTGAAGTTCAAAGGTCTTAATCTTGCACTTGGTTAAAAAAAATTGAGCGCATGCAAATCTGTGCTCCGAAATTGAGTAGGTTTTGGAGATAATTCCGAAGGATCATTCAGTCTTTATTTCAGCAGAGCGCAATTTTTAATGGCGTTTTCGCCTGGTACCTTGACCGGTTTGTTTCCATGATACCAACCTACTTATTGAGCAAACAAAAATGTTTAAATAATTAAACATATTTAAATTTAAATAATTAAACAACAACCAAATAACTGCCCATTTAAGAATTACTTTTATTTGTTCAGTGTAATTAGAAATACTTATTTTACTTTACGCTAATTGTGTTTGCTATTTTTTTATTGACATATCATTGTTCAATTTATTTTTCTACTTATTAAATTTTTGTTAATATTGTGTGCATTCTTATATTTGTTTAACTAGTTTTCACTTGCATATAGTTGGATTTCCAAATTTTCATTCACATAACATCTAATTATTTCCCTTGTGTGAAATGGAGAGTGAACAGCGTCAATGAATGACCCTTGTTTTTTGTGCCGTTTCTGTTTTCTGTCATTTGTCGTAGACATTAACACACGAAGGAGAATGTTTGTTGCGTTCCCTGCCGCTGCTGTGTTAGTTTGTGTCACTAACACATCTTTTTTTTCTGCTGCTGCTGCTGTTATTGTGGCTGCAGACGAGCTGGTGGTTCAGAAGGAACGATACAAGTCCGTCACCGACGAGCTCGACCAGACCTTCACAGAGATGTCTGGCTACTAAGCTGCTTCTTCTAACCCTCCCTCTTCGCGGGACACTCACTGCCTCTTAACTCTGCTCCCCCACTACTTCTTTATTGCAAAAAGCCTTGTAATTAAATAATTAGCCCATTATTTAATATCATTGTATTTAGGACATTTTTATCTAAAATTGTCACAATTTTTCGGTTAAGTTTCATGTCTAGTTTTTACACAAATTTTTCCGTTTTGCTTCTATTGGAACTTTTTGTGACGATCAAACGCTTGCGTCGTGATCGCGGATGCTTACGCCCTTCCCGTCACTCCCCTTCAGTTCTGCTAATGTGTCCATGTGTGACGTATCTGACAATTTCTTCCTCCTAAAAAGTACGGATAAATGTTCACATATTTGTGTTAACCATCAGCACAGCAATTATCTCCCCGGACGCTCTGATGTCCATATCACTAATGCTAGGTACCGTGTGGCCTCTCAATATTTGTTGAAATTGCCGCTTCTGTGTTTGAAGTGCCAGCTAAGTTTAACATACCAGCCTTCCATTCTTATCCTCGATTATTTCGAACGGATGCGGTAAAGATAGGCATTCGTTAATTCGATATTCGGATAGCGGTACACGTTTCGTTTCATTAAAATCGTGTTTTTCCTGACGTCTTCTATTCAGATTCCGGTAGTATAAACTCGAGCTTTGCATTGTTGTAGTTTTTCGGATAGAGCGTATCATCAATTTCTTATTCTCTGTAACTACGATCGAATATTTAAAGAATAACATCTTACCATACTGCTTTCTTTTGGGACGAGCAGTTAGCTATTTACGTTACGTTTTTGTTCAGTACATTAGATGAAACTTGAGTTTGGACCATCGTTTGCGTCGTGTTACTGTGTCCGTCGTCTACTTGTAATCTCCCTCGTGATGATGAGTTCTCGTTGAGACATGAACGTGCGTGCGTTGCCACTGTCCCGCGTTTGTCCGTGATCGTCCTGTCCCATGCGTCTCATGTTGGTTGGACGGTGCGCCGTTCGTTTGCTCACTGTTATGCCTCTTACAGACGAACTGGTTAACGAGAAAGAGAAGTACAAGTCGATTACCGACGAACTGGATCAGACTTTCTCCGAACTTTCTGGCTACTAAATATTCTTCTAAGCTCGTCTACAACATCATATCGGCTACCACGGCAGCAATGCCTGACGTGGCCGTCCGCCGCTGCTACAACATCTTAAAGCAGGGCTTCACTAACGCCTCAGTGTTCACATTCATTTATGCCACTCGAGCTGTAAATTCTCTCATCCAAGTATTAGCTTCTTTTGTAATACTTCAATTTTTTGATTTATGCCGCTGTTTTTCTTTTTCTTGCTATGTCAATTATATGGCCCAAATTAATATAACAATAATGAACAACGTTTTAACACAATTTCGTTAGTATTTATGTTCAAGTTATTTTACTGTTAAGAGTGATTATTGGATATAAAATATATTATTCGATCTCTGAATAAAAAGAATAAATTATGCAATGTTGACATTATTATGAGTTGTGAAAATTTTCATGGGTGTGTAAGAAACGAGGGCGATGTTTAGGGGAGACTCACGTGTGTGGGTGTGACTGGCGCTACCCTCGACCTGACTCTATTACAGATGAGCTCGTTAATGAGAAAGAGAAGTATAAGAACATTGCCGACGAAATGGACCAAGCCTTTTCCGAACTGTCGGGCTTCTAAGCTCCAGTCATCACACCTCAAACCACGCGATGAAAACGGTCGCAGGCTTCGGTATCTCTCATCTCGTCTTTTGTTTCTTTGGTCGCTTTCGAGGCTTCATATATTTTTTTGTCTACATGCCAGTTACATATTATCTAATGCTTTATCGTGGCCAACGCGGACTGACTGACAATAACCCTTAGATCGGTTGACAATTCATCTTTCACCGAACGAAGCAGCGCAGTCATCGTACACGTGAGACGCTACTCCGACAACCTCAACATCTCGCCTCTGGCATCTGTACTCGTGTTCTTTTTCGGCAGGTCATTTCCTTAATTAGTTCTTGCTATGTTCATTGACAATTTTTCAGACAGTCCGTTTCAAAAATAAGATTGTGCACTCATGTGAGGTGTATTAATTAAATTTTTGTAAACAAAGCTGTACCTGAATTTTATTTCTGCCTTTTAAATATTTACCATCACTTGATAGAGCGAACTTGGAAAGGTCGTCATGTCGGTGCACAATTAACTATCGCAAAATGTTTAAACGCAGTAATTACTTTTTTACTGTGTGAATCTATTAGGTTATTTTCACTGTTCATGAGCAGGATGCAATTCAGGTTTGATTAGCTGAACGCCTAAGGAAAAATGCAAATAGCGTACATTGTGCAATTAAGCGTCGTAAAGTGAAGCTTAAAAGACCCCGATGGGTCTTGGTTGATCCCCCCGATCCAAAATCCAAATGAGTAATCCAATTGTGAAGACAAATGCCAAAGAATTGCCATCCTTTAATGCATCACAATACACGTATGCAAGATTATACAGGTCTCCGGTTGAATATAATAGTGCACCAAATCTATTTATCGCCCACGAGAAACCGAAATCTTAACTTCATGGAGACAACACTTATTCTATCCACGTTAGAAAATAGGCAATCTGAGAATGAGACTCGCTCCTTATGTTATGCCTTAACACGGAACTTACGACGTCAACTACGCATGCTGCGCTATATTTCAAAATGTAAAGACAATCGCGCATATCAACTATGAACAGACGAGGACTTTCACAATGCACCATCTAATGGGATGAAAACTGCAGTTAGCAGTATCTTATATAAATAACGGAAAAATTTTAATGGTTCAATTTAATCTGAATGGATCTAAAAAATGATGCGTAAACTTTGCCCAAATCGATCTAATCTTGGTATGAAAAGTTTCTTAAATTAGTGGTTATTTGTAGGTAGACCATTAGAATTCTAAGGGCCTGAAAGATAACGTAACTTGAACACGTGATCTGGGAACATCTTGTGGCCGTATAAGAGATCGAAACCGCTAACATTAAAAAAAAAAATTTGAATGGACTAGGCCACATTATTTTACCCGGAAACATTCATCTGGATACGATTTTTCACCGACAACATAGTGTTGCTCGTATTGAAAAAACGCATTATATGCAGAACTTTTAACGCATACGAGTTTAACTTCTTTGAGAATATTAATTTTAATTTATTAGAAATTGAAGACTGAAAATTTCCTGAATACTAATTAAATCAAATTATTACCGAGCCAACTGGCATAAATTCATATGCCATACTAACAAATAATGGAAGTACAGAATGAAATTGTTAGCAGACACACTGAATCAGGCAAGAATTTCAGTTTATCATAAATATAATACATCAGGTCACAGTGTAAGTAATAAACAAAAAAAAATTTTCTGACGACGGAAAATCGTCTTGAGATGGAGCTAAACGACGACAAATCAGTAAATGTCAAACAGATTGAGTGGCTTCCGTTCAATAATTGAATTATTGCAGCGGACGAAAACTTTTATGGTGTCTAAGTAAATGAGTAACGTCAAATTTCATTTCGATCATCAATGCAACAGGATAACATAATGGAAGGCAGGTAGTCAGCTGTAGATTCAAATGCCTTCTCATAGGAGGCATGACGTAAATCATCGCAGAATTAAGCACAAATTTTATATGAACACTACTGGAATTAAAGTATTGAACGATTGATTCATTAGCTTTATACTTAAATACTAGAATTGTCAGAACTAATTCAAAAAAATTTGAGAACAAATACATTCGAAACAACAGTGTTCTAAACGCATTTCCTCAACGAAGATCATGCCTCATTTTGATAATTTAACATTTAGGTTACACAACAACACATCACAATTGTAAGGACAAACTCAAGTTTTAAAAGTTCATGAAAACATGAAATTTTTCATCATTCAAGATGAAAAGTTCTAAATCAAAATCCTTTCAGACCAGTGAGAAACTCAATTCTCATGTGGTTAGAATTGATAATTTGAAGAAGTAATGAGAAGCTGACAACGTAAAATAATACTTGACCATCGCCCAAGTAATTTAAAAAAATTATTTTGCGAGTAAAACTATTGATGCTAAAAATGGAACGTCTCCGATTCGCACAAAAATATCCAAGAGCCGAATATCCAAAAAAGGAGCGTGCACGTATCCGAGTCCGTATGATAATTATTAACCACTGGCACAAGTTGCATACTCATAACTCCATAGCAGAACAAATGTGCGATCGTACTTCATATTGCAGCCAAAACAATAAAATGAATCTTCAAATGCTTGGTTGGAAGTCAGGTTTTCTGCGTAGCGTCAATTCCAGTACATATTTTCCACCAATATCCAGCAGGCATCAGCACCGAAAAGAGGGAAGGTAGATAAAGTCAGAGTATAAGAAAAGTCTAATGCGGCACGGATCAATTCATCCGTAATGTAAAAACAACGCACATCAACCGGCGCATATAGTACACTATTCATTACGAATAAGAAACCGAACGTGCAAGAAATGAACAATTCACTTATTTAACGCTGATGAGATCGTTCAAATCCAGTACCACGAAACAAAATAGTCGTCATTGACAAACACGAATAAACGACAAAATTGAGTAACAATTATGTTTTTACAACAAGACGAAGTATCAATCCAGGCGGCTTTTCGTTGAGAGAGTCAACTATTTAACAAAATTAAGGGCAAGAAACTCTAGAGCTCTACAACATGAGCCTAATTATTACATGAAAAAGTACGATCTTAATACTGACAGATCAAATAGAAGAAAAAAATGACTACAGGAAAGCAAACGACCAAAGGATCAGAACAATTCATGGTAAAAGATGGACAGATAAGCACGTCTAGTTCAAAGTCAAGCATGCTAATACAAACCTCGAGACAAGTTTCCGCCTAACCTCCGATTTCTGCAACATTGAAGAGATATCATTCGCGATTAAATCAGATCATTTCTTATATTCGCTCAAGAGAGCATGGACCGATGACTTAGATTTGCGCTGGTCCCTGAGGAGTCCTAAGACCTTGCGTCGTCCTAAGCCCCTCACAATGAGTTACGCGGTTAACGTCGCCCTCAGCCCGCCCCCTCACAAGGCCTTCCGCTGGTACTCAGCAGGTGCAATACCATAGTCCTGAACGCTGTAGTAGTTTGACATGTTCTTCACCAGGAACCTGCAAGAAACTTATACATATGACCTAAATATATTATAAAGTTCATGCGAACATCTGCTACGTTTGATGAAGAGCAGTAACAAAATGGGGAAAAAAACCCCTGATAATAATGCTTCTCAATTTCTCATACTTGCATAAGGAAATGGTGCATTTGATCTGCACAGTTAATTTTTAGCTCCTTCAAACAAAAAAGAATAAATAAGACACCAAACAACCATCTATGTTCATAAAACCTTGCCTTAAATGGTGCAAACCTGTTTTTCTCATTTTATGATGGGCGCAATCAATGAATTGATTTGCTTCCAAGTAAATTTGTATTAATTACCTTCTTATTTACCAAATACTAAAAGTGAGTAACATCATCCATGAACCTATTTTTGAAGGACATCTAGAATCGGCTCACATTCATTTCATTTCGATGCAGTTGCTCGTATATTGATCGGTTTGGTGGTAAATTATCTATCAATTCCAATCACTTCTGTCAAGGCATTTAGATTATTCATCAATAAAATGGGAATTAAAATCGAAAAAATGTCTATAAATTTAAAATATATTAAAGTTATGCATCTGCCAACGCTGTACTTGACATTTCTAGAAAGATATCGCAATCTAAGAATGCTCATAAAAACACTAACAATTATTTGAGTATGAATTGCAGTTGTAATTGTTCTCAAGGTCGAATATCATTTGAAACAGTTTTATATTTGAATGAAGTTAGACTCTTTAACCAAATCGAGGGATGATGCACACAAACATTTTTATTTTCTCTTTTTCGAAATTTGCGTTATTGGAACTCATATTTCCAACTATTTGATCAACTAACACACTTTATTGGCAGATGAGGCACGAAAATACCGACTTGCTCATAGTGGGGGATTTAAAAAAAATTAGGAAACGCTGGTTTACATGAGATTACAATGATACAAAAGCAAAAAAATCCTTGAACTACATAAACTAACTACCTGAGGAAATCATGTAGATGGAAGTTAAGCATGGCGATGCTCTTCTCGTCTAGCTGCGTGTAGGCGAGCATCTCCCCCATCTTGACAAAGAGCCTCACGAGGTGGATGTACCCATAGACTTCACTCATCAGGGGGGTATCGGGATGTTCCCGCAGCCAGTCAGCGTACTGTGGCCGCTCGAACTTGTATAGCAACTGTTTGCCCAGCATCACGTTGAAATACTCCTTCAGACCGGCCACAACCTCCAGGATAGCGCTCTCTCTGACCATCATAATAATAAGAAAGTTATGGAACATGAGTTAATTTTTGAGCTTCTAATTTTTGTTGTAGTTTTCAACAAGAGTAAAATACCTGGTTGGCAGTGATAAGAAAGAAATCTAATATATTTGGCGCATTTAAAAAACACCAAAGAGACTTCAATTGTCTCAAAATGAACAGCAGAGCAGCTTTAGAGCAAAAAATTTAAAATTGTTTCATCAAAAGGGACAATTATGCATTCTCCATTCCAATTACCAATGAAAATTCAATTTTTGTTCTCTCAAATGATACAATAAATTGAGATTCTCTAACTAATTTCAATGCCCATTCATTGTTTCCCCAAGGCGACAAGGTGAGACACTCATCAGAGACATTGAGGAGCGGCGACAGAAATGAAATTATAGTGGCCACTTTTTTCAGCGTTTTTTCTTAGCAAGCTTTACTATCGCAAATTATGAGCAGACAACTTGCTGGTGAATCAGCTTCATCAATTATTTTTTGCCAGCATCACGATCAAGAGGTGGGGCCTATAACTTCTTAATATAATTACTTTAATGCTATTTTTCGTTGTCAATATTCACTAATCAAGATCTATGAGCATCTCACTTGTTGGGCGTATTGGCCTTGGTGTTGATCTTGGCCTTAGTGTAGTCAGCCAGTATAGAGGACACGGTCACTCTGGCAGGTAGAGTCGTGAGTTTGCGTTGCCTGTTCACCAAATCCCAGTCGTCAACCAAACAAGGCTTCAGCTCATCAGGCAATTTGATCCGCACTTCAACATGACCTAAAAATTGCTCCTCCTGTTGCAAGAAATACTACAATTACAACACAATAAGTACGACAGAATTCGATTTAATGTAATAAATAGATAATTTATTACTGATTTCAGCTTCTAATCAGTTGCTATTGATAATTTTCACATCGCAAAGAAAAATTAATTGCAGCATTAATAAGTGATGACAAGTATTCAGAAAAGAGAATTTGTCATGGCTCTAGAAAATGCATTTCTGTAAAAAAATGGAAAATTGGAAACAAGTAAGTAGTGACAGTCAATCAAAAGTAGAGATTAATCGTATCATTAAAAAATATAGCAAAATTAACCAACAATTGATAATTTAATCTAGATGCGTACATTATTCCAATAGAATACGAGATGAATGCTACAAAATTACGTGTGACTGTTGGTATGTTCTACACAGACAAACAATGCGTGATAGATGAATTTGCACAGCATAAATGACAATGCTCAAACAGGAACAACGTGATAAAATTTACAGATTCAACAGTGGAGTCCAGCTTGAGTTTCTTCTTTTTGGCGTCTGAGGCGTCATCCTTGTTTTCTGTGTCCGATGACTGTGCAGCGTCAGCCGTAGCAGCGCTGCTGGTCCGCTTACTGGAACTGCTTATAACAGATCAGTTTTAGTCTTAGATATTAATGCTTGTAGGTAAAAAAACAACATACGAACCGAAAGAAGTGGTCTTATTCTTTGATAGTCTTGACATGACGGAAAATTTTCATGTTCCGTTCATTCATTGAAGTCTTAGCAATAATGAAATTATTTTAGCTTATGCTATGGAACAGATACAATCAAATTAACCTTTATTAACCCATACTAGTGCAGTTACAGTCAGTGTATAGTTAGCTCTACCAACAATTTATGAAACTCGCAGTAATGATCACTGTCAAGGCAGTTTATCATGCGTCTTTCCCTCTCATCACCAGTGCAGGCAGCTCTCCAAAGAATGAAGGTATTACAGTAAAATCACCTATGCCTCTTCCTCATGCACAGCCTCTTTGGACTCGGCGGCCTTTTGGCCCAATGGATGCATATGCTTCATAGTGCGTAGAGCAGGTTCAAATATTCAAAACAATTCGTATAGTAACTAATGCTGCTGAATGCATTAGAATATTTTGAAATATGGTGTGTAAAAAACTGCAACATATACGATAAAACATTTGAACAAAAAAATTTGAAGTAGAAATAACATAATGAGGGGGAAGTAATGTTTCACTATTAAACTTCAATGACAACATCCTACATAAAAGTATGATAAAATAAAGCTAAAATAATGACCTACCTATCTGTGGAGGGTGTGGAGCTGCGGCTGTCTTCACCACCACTGCCTGCACCACCTTTACTGCCACCGCTGCCTCCCTCACGCTTCTTCTCCAGAAACTTCTTGGCAGCTTTCTTCTGCTTCCTGCCAACCCAGGAAAAAATAACTCATCTTGCATAAATAAACAACACATTTATTCAAAGTTTTAACTGGTACGGTATAGTAGCAAGCAGTTGATGTAATTAGCTGAGAGGGTTTTTTCACATAAGTTTTTTTTTTGTTAAGAATTTAAGCCAAATCACATCCCTTGTTTGATGCAACATGAACATGAGCAAAGTCTGATGTATTCATGACTGATTTGCTGCAAGTGTATACGGTATATATGGGACATGAAAAATTCAAAGTTATATCACTTGCCGGATTAAATTAAATTGATTTTCTGCTTTTCTTTATACAGATTATGAAGACGACAAGGAACAAATAAGATATACTCACAGAGATGCCGCATGAGCATCTTGTAGATCTTTTTGTCGTTGTAGATTGGAATCATTGAGCTTCAATACTCTGCTTTCCAACACCCATTCATCCCAACTGTAAAATTAAGAAATTATTGCCATTAATCAATAAGCATCAACCTAGACTTAATTAGGACAAATATGTTCAACACTGAAGAAAAATCAATGGACACGTGTAAATTCCTGTTGAAATTCAAAGTAGGAAGATGAAGCAGTCAGGACTGAAGAAATGCTAGTAAAAATGATAATGGTAAGAGAACTCTACAAATTAAATGACTTGGATACATGAAAATGACCATCTTACTTTTTGTTCCAGCCAGCATAATGCACCAGATACTTGACAGGCTTTTCCTTCTCCTTGGCCTGCACCTTAAGACACTTGGCTTCGTAAATGAGAGGACCATGGAAGCACAAGACCTTCTCACCTGTAAAATAAAATCAACATTAACAGTTAATAAATATAAATCAAAAGGACTCGGCAGAGATGAATAACTTGCTTAAGAAAGAGATAAATAGGAGAGCAGAAACAAATTATGGTACACTAGCAATTGCACACTAGTAACACTAGCACACCAGAAGTAGGCTATATTATACATTTTTTTATTCAGATGAGAGAAGAGAGGACTGAAATCACTAGCAAGCATATAGGATCTACGCCACAAATGACTGAAAAATCCTAAACCTACCACAATGTGCGTTGGTGCAATGGGCTTCCAGACCTCAACTACAACTTTTTAAAAATAATATAGTTAACTGTATAGACCAAAAAATATAGCTCAGTACTCACTGCACTGAGTGACAGAGAGCGCATTTTCTCATTGACGAAAACGTGAAGTCACGGATGGACAGACAAACAGACATGGCGAGCACAATAATGAATTTTTTTCATAAATGAGAAAATGCACTAAAAAGTGAGTCTTACTTCCCAGGCTGGGGTAAGACAGGACCAACTGGTATCTCATATTACAAAGTTTTTAATCAAAGGATGGACCTGATATTCAATATTATCCATCTAGAAACACATTAGATGTTGAAACAACCCTTTGTTACCATTGTACATTGCAGGAAGTCAACTTCAATATAAGTCATATTGGAGTTTTTGTCATAAGAAAATTTTGTCAAGCTTGCCCTAATATTGTTGGCTTTGGTTCATTGTAAAGCACTGCCAAGTAGGTAATATGCATATATTCCATTAGTGTCATTGTCTGTCATATGATCTGATAGCCATTTTGTCATCCTTTACATTTTCTATGTTTACTTCCAACATTTCTTCAGGTCCCTTTAGGTAGGAGGTCTACCAGATGTCTAAATTATTGATCGGGTTCATTTCATGGTTTATTCACATAAGATATCTAAGTCATCATTGTCTGTCTACCTGTCTCAGTCTATTTGCTTCTGTAATTATTCTGTTGCTGCAATATTTTTCACTCAATTTTTGGCCTCCTCTATTGCTCTCTTTCCTCGCTTCATAATATCAGGACCACTGGTCTTCTAAAAGCTGTACTCAGGTGCAGGATATGATGTTTCTGGAATAAATGGCATAGAGGCTCTTAGCATAGCCAGCCTTTGAGTCACTCGACCAGTTGATGGTGTAGCTTTAGTTTCCACAGCTAAATGTGTAGAATGTAAATGCTTCAATGTGTTCTGCTTTAGGAAAATTGTACTCAAATTCAACTAGCCAATTTTCTTCTGCACTTTAAGTATGACAGATTGGATTGTCATTCTCATCTTTAAGCTTTCTAGTACTCACCCAAGCATGATACATTTAGAATTTGCTCTTATCCAACCTTGAAGTGTCATACATTGATTTATTCAGAAGATGAATCCTGTAGTACAAAAGCTGCATTAATAGTATTTTCTGATAGGCCAGTCTAACACACAGTTTAACATGTTCACAAATCCCCCTTGTGAAGGAGCCTAGCGTGAACATCAACAGCATTTTTTACCATTAAGCATCAAAAAAAGCAAAGCTTGCCTGATACAGTCTATCCTTGCAGTGGGGTAGTAGTTCAAGATATGTACCTACTTATTTGATATTTGGCTGCTAATTCGAAGGTTTAAGTGCTGCATGGTTTATGTAAAACTAAAAAATCAGGGAAGTTGGGTTTGTTTTCTTATTGTCTCAACAGATTTGCAAAAAAAATCTTGAAAAGATGCTACAACACACTGAGTGAGCAGCAGCGCTTGATTTCCTACCCTAGTAGTTTGCATTTAATTCCCTTTGAATGCAATAAGGGGGTGGAAGTTCTTTTCCATTTGAACAGACTGCTGCTGAGAGGATGTGTTTTCTAAGTATGAGCCATGCATTACTCTCCGTTTTTAAATATTGTTTTGGTCTTTGATGGATCTGTTCGAAATACTGTTTCACAAGGACTAATGATGCATTGCAGTTTTATAGCCATCCCAAATGACTGAAGAATTTATCCCATTGGTAATAAATCCATGGATAATAACTGAAGTGTCAGATATCATAATTTTTCTTGCTAACTGCATTTGTGGTTGGGCTTCTTCAAGCATCGCTCATGCCTTTTCAGAAAGTTGTGAATCCTGTCTTGTCCATGTCAGTTATCTTTAAAGGCAGTCTTATATAGGTACATATTTTTATACATATAGATTTTTCATCACACCAATCTTGCACATAGTTTTGTAGCTCACTAATGGGAAGAGTTATCATTAATTACTCCATCCCCTTGATTCAATTTACAATACTACATACATTTCTCCAGTGAAAACAAAGCTTTCAAGTTAAATTGGTTATTTTGAGCAAGAGATTACTATTTCATCTAAAACACTCAATGTAGAATAATATAATCTTTAAAAAACTATTATTGATAAACTATGGGAAGACATGACCATTAGTGGGGTAAGAGAGGACTGGTTTTAGGGTAAAACAAGATTACTTGTGGGGTGTAGAGCAGAATCATTTGGCATTCCTGTATCACCCCATGTCTGGTCCTTTTTAGCGCATTTTCTCATTTATGGAAAAAATGCACTATTGTGCTCATCATGTCCGTCTGTCTGTCTGTCCGTGACCTCAAGTTTTCGTCGACGAGAAAATGCGCTCTCTGTCACTCACTGCAGTGAGTACTGAGTTATCTTTTTTACCTCATTTCAGAATGCATGCCATGCAGGGATGGTAGCAGGTTATGAATGCCTTGTATGTCTCAAAGGCAAAAATTAATTATTTTCAGCACAGTGTTGAAATAAATACTGAATTGACTGAAAATAGTTGCTCTAATAGATTCTTTGTTCTTCCATCAAATTAAATTCAGTGTAATTAGAATGCATGCCATGGACTGGTACTTCTCACCCCATGAAGGCTGCAATCCCATCTTACCTCATTTGATTATACATGCAGGAGTTGATGACTTTTTTTGCCCTAGCACCCCATGGCCTGACACCATTTGTTTAAGCCAGAATAAAACTGGGAGTTTCAAGAGAGTATTTGAAGATCAATAAATGGTATTGATTTCCTGGGATTTGAAGTTAAGGATGCTGATTACAGGCTTAATGATGCTAAAATCATTTTAAAATTAAAGCAAAATGCTAACATTAAAACACTTTTTCCTCACTCAGTAGATTTTCATAATTATAATATAGCATCAATACAAGAAATAAAAAAATTCTGGATGCTAACTGAACTTCACTTTCCATGTTAGTATTAACAGTTGTACAGCAAGTCAATCACAGCTAGAATGAAGTCTGAATTGCTAATAAAATTCAACAAATCTACTGAAGAATTATGTGAAGTTAATCCATTCTTGCTGGGTAAATAACTGTAGGTGTCTAATGATTTAAAAGCTACTGATTTGTGCTCACCTTCAGTAAATTTTGTTTTTGTAGCCATTGGCTCAATGATGTTTATTAAAAAAGGACAATATACCTGAAAAAAATACACTTCACTATTAGAGATATAAATGAACATCACACAGCATAATTAAAAATATGTGAATGACAAATAACATTTAAATCTAATTATTGTTAGTTTGGTTGAAAAATTGGAGAAACATTTAATCAGTAAATTTAAGATAGCCAAGTTCTCAGAAAGTTATTGCATAGAAGTTAGAGCAATACATAGCGCAAACTGTACCATTGCTGAGAAAATGTAAAACAATTGGAATTTTCCAATTTTAAATGTTTTTTGTTAATAACTTCTTACCATGAAACATTTCCTAAACAAGTTTGGGCTCATTTTAAAGCCCTTTGCAAGGGCTATTGTATGGCATTTTTGACTAAATCCCATATGCTATTTATAAGGTGTCAGAGGCAAAATAAAAGCATCCCAAATTACCCCTGAAAATGGGGTAATCCAGGACACTTGAAATAAGACCAAATTTTAAAACATTTGGAGCATGCACAGCATACTACATCTATTATTACTAACAGTACTCTGAAGTCCTCACCCCCATCACCATGACCCATATCACCCACGTCACCCTCCATCATCACCCGCTCCTCTTCCTTTGTAGATGATGTAAATGTAGAATAAATGACATTTTCTGCAATTTTTACTTGTTTTTCCTTTATTGATATGATAGTACCATATCCATACATTATTGTATTATTGATGTGATATTACCATATCCATGGACATGCCATTGAACATTGACAATGACCTTGTCCACTGCAAGATTCATATCAGCAGCCATGTATAGCATTTCTTCTGTATCTGCAAGCTTACAGGATGGCTTGTAATTTCACTCTATTTTAATTGAGTCAAGTGAATTTACTATAACAAAAAATATTGTAAAAAAAACATAGGTACCATAAAAGGGGGTTCCTCTGACTATTTAAGGATGCTTTTTTACTAGCTAAATTAAACTTAAATTGAAACATGCAAAATAAAGGTCTATACTCTAGGTTCACTCACCATAAATTGCTGGCTCCTGCCTCTCATAGTTTTGATGTAATTTCAAAAAAAGTGATGGTCTTGTCTTTGTTACCCCCTCCTTTGGGGTATCTTTGACTGGGTGGTAAAATCAATTATATCTTTTGGTAAAATAACTCCAGGTTTTGGTGCATTGTAGTAGAACTCTTCTAGTTACATATGCAAATGACAAATTTGAGGGAAGTGTCATAGTTTGCAAATGGGGGGCACCACCTCCCAATGGGGGAACTGTGACCACATAATGTCAGCCGTGACAGGGTAATATTGACCGGCTTGGAAATTAAGTTAAAATTACCATATATAAGACTCTGTAGAGTCTGAAACATAAAGAAAAAACATCAATTGGTGTATTAAACATAAAATATTTTATATATGGTACCTTAACTTAATTTCCAAGCCAGTCAATATTACCCTGTCAAGGCTGACATTAGGTGGTCAGAGTTCCCCCATTGGGGGGCAATGCCTCCATTTGCAAACTATGACACTCCACTCAAATTTGTCATTTGCATATGTAACTAGAAGAGTTCTACTACAATGCACCAAAACCTGGAGTTATTTTACCAAAAAATAAAAAATTGGAGGGGGTACTCTGACAGGCTTTAAATAATAGCTCTTTTTTGTGGGTTACATTATTAATTTTTTAACCTATAAGATATGCAAACTTTTCAAATCTTTCTATTGCATTATGTAGCCTCAGTATTAGGCCTTTAATGCCCACTGACAAAATTTTTCTATGTCAAATAGTTTTTGAGTTGTGGGGGTTTTTGTTAAAAAAACCAAAAGTGGTCTAAGTTACCCCGCCGGTCTAAGTTACCCCATTTTACGGTAAATGAGAAAATTAAAAATGAACTGATTCTAAAAAAGCTCTGGTTTGCCACTATGTTATCAAGTAAATATCAACACAAACGATATTGGTTTTAGACTTTTAGCCCTATATAGGATTACCGATTACAACTGATTGAACTGAAGTAAATGAGGAAATTCAAAATTAACTGATTGTAAAAATCTCTGCACTGCATTACCACTATGCCAAATTGCCAAGCACAAGCAGCCAGAGTTGATAATGCAGGTTCAGCAGGCAGGCTATGCTGGTTACTGGTATGGTATCTATCATAGTGGCAAAGCAGAGAGTTTTTTAGACTCTCCCTTGAGTTCATTTTTGAGTCCTAAAAGTAGACCAGTAAAGTATCATTGATACCAGCATTATCTTATATAAGAAATTGGTTTAAGTCTTGAATAAATAAGGAAATTAGAAATGAACTGATTTTAAAAAATCTCTGGTTTGTCACTATGGTATCTATAATCCATACTTTGCAGAATGCAGTTTATAATAATAGTGCTTTCATCATTTATTAGGCTGTAGCCTGTAGGCCTGTCGAGGCGGAGGCTGTCGCCAATTCATAACATACCTAGCAGAACATTCACAGTCATAGCCTGTTGGCTGTTGCAGTCTCAAACGCTGCCGCACAACTCAGTCTCACTGATTCAATTTTGCTTTGCTTAACCACCCAGGCACTCACAACTGGCCTCCTTCTCCTTGTAGTTGCAGTCTTGCCAATTCTGACCAGAAACTGGCACACAGCCCACTGAGCCCAGGGAATGGGATTGAACCTGCAACTCTCTGCACCAATCCTGGTTAGTCTGAAGTCTGAGCTTTAACCACTGAGGCTGAGCCACCCTGCCTGGAGGGCCAGAGTTTGCTGACCTATACTAATACAAAGTCATACATTTTAGTCTTTTAAATTGCTATGAAATCCTTTTGCACAATCACAAATTCTATAAACAATCATGGTTCATCATTCATGTAGGAGATCCAGCATATTCATATTAAAAATGAAAAATTATGAAATAGTTTACAATTTATATAATAGTATAACTATAGATCTTGTACTGAGTTGCGAAGTTGTACTGGTCTAACGCCTAACGCTAACAGTACAGTAGCACTCAGGCAAAATTGAATTTGAAACTTGATGTTGATGGCCCAAGCCAAGAAGCTATATTATTCAAGTTCAACACTCCACTGACTCCAGTCACTTTGACATTTAAAAGCATATTGGCCTTGTAAAAGAAGCATTCCAAGTTTTCCTTGCAATATGATAATTGATAAGTAAACCTATTCCAGTATGCCAGCTACCGCGTAGTGGCGCATACCGACCGCTTGTCTCCACTCTCCAGCCTTCAATCATTCAATGCCCGCTTGCCTCCTCTAAATGCTGAACCGGAGTACCGGACCAATTACCACGACGATACATTTGCTCGAGAACCCAAACTTTGCTAGCTGCAAACAATTCAGTCTCTGTGGGACGAGCTAAGAGTAACTGGGAGGCACATTTCTTTAGTAAGGTCAGTGCGGCAAGCCTGAGTTCAGCTACATGTTGAATTCAATTTACAAAACTTCTAGCACCTACTATTCAACGGTTATATTATTCAAAGTAACTTACCGGTGTGATGTTTTGGAAAAATGCCATGGGCAGAATGCAAGATTTTAATGGAATACTGATCCGTGAAGACACGACAGCAGACCCCCTCATGAATAGCATGATGAATGGCTGGCCGCTGGAGTCTATCCTTATCAGAAAAATTGCAATCAATAACGAATTCCATCGGTCACGACTTAAAGTGAAAAAGAGGAAACAAGTACTAGATAACCCGGGGAAAAAAGGAACACTAGTTTCAACTCTAACTTTGGTAAGCAAAGATTAGGTAATAAAACTTCAGTCTAGAGCCACAAACAACGTTTTCGAAATAGCGTACTTAGCTAAGACCACAGATGCACATGAAACTGAAGCTAATAACATTATAATTTTTTCGCAATTATTAATCATTGCAGAAGTTTAGAATTTAGACTAGGAATCATGCGAACATTGATACAACAGCTGAAATGATCTCATTATATTAGAGAATAGTACAATTATAACGAATGGGATGAGGACACTTGTCTTTACAATCGCTTAATTAATAATCTCACTATTTAGAGAGTGAACAGAATCTATCGAGTCTTACAGAATGCGGTTTAGAATATTCTAAATGTTGAACAAAAAATCTATTCAGATGAACAACTAAATACTAGAACCATCTTAGATTGTAGAGGCTACAATCCTGGATGCCTCTCATTATTACAATGTACCAGAATAGAAACAAATATTTTTTCATCGTGAGAATTGCACACAGAAATAGTTCACAGTTCTTTGGGCGTCATTCAAAAAGTTTGAGCTGGCTGCACGAAGACGATACATCCATCAGCATGTGAGCGTCAAGACGACTCGTTAACTTTCTCTGTGCAAACGACGGTAGTGTTGACAAAACGAACGCACAGAATTTAATTATTTTCACAGTTCGTTGTTCTTATTCAAATTTTACATTACCAGTAAAATGAATTCAACAACATGAATTTTTCCGCGGAATTCAGAGCCAATGATGATAAATCAATAGCTGATAGTTATCCTAATACGATTCACCATCTGGTTGGATGAGAATAATTTCAAGGAATGAATGGGAGTCTGGGTTGTTAAAGGAACGAACGCATTAATAAATCGCAAAAATGTAGGAACTAAATATATAATAGCAATGAAAGTGGCGAATAAATTTGCCACAGCTTTGGTGGAAAAAATTTTTTCTTCAAAGACGTCTTGAGCCATTTTTTATTACTTTTGAATTTTTGATAAATTTTCAAACTAAACAATCAAGCGAGCTTAATAAATGAAAGAATATAATGAAGAATCTATAGTTATATTCCTTCAAAAATATAATTCAGATACAAATTAAAAACATGAGCACCTAAATGGACTTTCTAAGTCAATGAAATACAGTACCAGGTACGGTACTAGTAAGTAATGTACTCCTATACAAAAAAGTCGATATTCGAGCAGTAACTTGATTTAACTGATGAAATTTGCCGAGTATAAACCATGGATCGAAACAAAACAAAATCGCGATGTCCATTTCAAAACTGCTCATGGTACACGTTAAAAATATTACACTCCTAGGACGCAGGAAACTTAAAACTCACACTAATGGTGCAATAATAATGTCATAATAATATACATACAATTTAACTGAACTTTTGGTGGAGGAAAAACCATACAGATTATGAAGAAGAAATTAATTAGAATAAATTCTTATCATGTCAAGAATATTCACGGTTATGCTTAGAATAAAATTTGCTGGTGTTGTGCTAAGTAAAGAATTAGGTATCACTGCAGAAATAACAAGTTTAAATGCTAAAAATCAATGAAAAAATTCTAACACTACTGAATCTGTTAAAAAAAGAAAAAACTTCAACGCGTACATAAATTATTTCCTTAAAGCTCTGAAAGGGCTGGAAGTTCATTGTCATAAAATACAAGTCACTGAGACAAAAGGCGTGTATAGGTGGTATATAAATACATGTTTAAAAATCAATCCAAAAGTGCAAGCAATCTTTCTTAAATTTTTCTTTTGCATGGAAGAGCTATTTGAGAATAATTCTAGTTTTGAATATTGAAGATAACTTATGGAAAAATCGTCTTTTCACAATGTGTACCCAGGATGTTAAACAATATCAAATTGAAAACAGTAAAAACTTCACATTGACCAAAGTGGAATAGAATCAGAAGAAAAACCTAATTTACATGGAATTATATGTATTCAATAAATAATTAAACGATTCGTGGGACATCAGGACCGTCTTGTCAGATGTCACACTGAGAAGAGCTGCCAGTTGTAGCGGTGTTATTGTTCCGTTGATCAAACTTGGATTTATTGTTCTTGATCATGTAAATGAAGTAGGTGAGGCACTCCTTCTCTATAACTGGTATCGTCACGAATTGACGCCACAAAATCTGTGGAACCAGAAGAACATTAGAAAAAATTGATGAGCTCATATTACAGCTGGATTGTGGTGTACATGAGGAAGCACTTGAGCAACATAATAAAATGTTATTAAAAAGAACTCACGCAAAAATATTTCAGTAAAAAATATTAGCTCAGGTTGGTTTAACACTTTTCAATATATTTTTTTTAACATAGAAATATTTCACTTAAAATAGGTTTTAATCCCCTTCTTTGAACTAGTACAAGGGGCAAAAGAGGTAGCCAGAGAAATGTGCAAGGAATAAAAGGGATGCCTTTGTGTCAAACGCTGTTAAATGTTGTGGGAAATTTACACAAATTAGAAAAAATAAAGCATTCATTGTCCATGCTAACTACAGATACTGCTTATTCAATTATTATACTTGATTAATTTCCTTTTAGAGCTTCCGACATTTTCTTCATCTCCTAATCCAGCAGTGATTCCTTTCCTCCAGCCAACATAAGCCAAATGAGATGCCAATGACTATCAGGACCAGTACTTTTATTTCCTTTTCAATCTTACAACTATTTCATAATATAAACTCAGCTGTTTTGTTACCAAATAGTTGACATCAAATAGACGAGTTTTTCTCATCGGCATTTGGGCACCTGAACAACAACATACTTTTTTGATGATCAAAATAATGCACTTCTATCCATCATGCCCAACTCAATTTTAATTATCTACTCTGTCGTTTTAATGAATAACTTTTATTGCTAACTCAACAATGATTAATAGAAACTCACCTTAACATACAAGTGAAAGTCAGTAGTCATTTTTATTGCAATGACCCTAATTTTTGAGCTTATTAGCTGGATAAGTTATTTTTAAAGAATCTTAGATGTTAAGATGTGATGATCTTAATTTAAAGGATTTTCAGTCAATTATGTCCTAGGCTTTTGTGTTTACTCCTAAATTCTAGGTGATGAAGTGCCTAATGATGCTTTTTTTATTCAGAAATGTCTTTCAGGTGATACTGAAGCAGACCATGATAGAGGCTAAGATAACACATAAGACAGGAAAGCTTCAATGCAGGCATCATAGTTCTTTTTACTTACATCTGCAAGCTGAGCTTTATTTAGGCCAGGTTTTGTGTTGATTTTGTAATGCTTTTTAAATCGCCTCAATGTATTGACCTACAGAGAAAGAGAAAAAAATTTACATAAGTCCTGTTACAGACTAGTATAAATTAATGTTCTTCAACTGGCACATACCTGTAAACACAATTTTTATAAAGTATTGAGTGATTAATTGTAATGTGAATGCCAAATTAAAGTTACGTGAAAGATACCTATCATACAATCATTATCATATTCATATTTTTGCAAACAAAACTAGGTTGAAAGAAACCAGCAAAGAATTTTAGGGCAATTCTCAATTCCAGATATTCAAGTCAGGGTAATATCAGGGCTCATTAAGAATTACTTTAACAATTACTATAGGACACAGTTATAATATTCTCATGCCCAATTTGCAATACCTGGAGGTTGGCAAGCTCAACTTCAGGAGTGTCTGAAGAGCTGCCAGGCATGGAGGCAGATGCGAGCTGGTCAGGCTCTATGAGCTCCTCGTCTGAGTCACGGCGCTTGCGTTTCATCCTCACGCTCTGGATGAGGTGCTTGTGGTGCTCACAGATGTAGTTGTGGGAGCTCTGCAAGTCAATGTACAATTTATAAACTATATGTACAACTAATATACTTGTAAAGCAACTGGTACAAGGAGCCGTTGTTCTTTTCTGCTGTCAAGGTGCACTATGTGTTGAAAGTGACCAGGTCATATTATTGATTATTATATACTTGTTCAAAGACCCAATATTATAAAATATTCATTTTACCAGGAAAACATCATTTTGTGAAACTTGTGAAAAATGTTATGTCTATTGAGCAACATGAGATAAAAAACTATAATTGTAAATTATGTATAGGTATAATGGGGTGAGCTAAAACACATGCTATGGATGTGCTAGTGCAGGTGAATTGCCTTAATATTTTGAATATCACTTGTAGCAGGAATATCATCAAGATCAATGTTGGAAATCACTTATCATGTGTGCTATCAGTTATTTCTTTAAAAAAAGTATTTGCCATGGACTTAACCTAGATATAATCTTGGAAAACTATTAAAATGTTTGTCAAGACCATGTTTGTCATGATCATTAGTTTGTCATGATCATTAGTTTGTCATGATCATTTTTGATTAGATCGATAATTAAACTTCCATTTATTTTTAAATGTGAAGAAAATTTAGAATAACTAAGAAAAGTTTGAAATTTTACACAAGAAATTATTTCATTTAAAAAAAGAATGATCAATTAAATAATATATGTCCCATACTCACATCAGGATCAAGATGAAGCTTGAGTTTGCGCTGAGCAACATTGCGCTGTATTCTCTTATTGTAAGCTGCATTGCCAGCTGGTCTACCACACTTCTCATCATCATCCAAAAGACAACATAATTTATAGTGCACTTCCATTGAGAATATGACAGCAGGGAAATCAAGAAAAGTGAAGTTCAGTTTATAATAAATACTACATGTCCTGCAATGTTGCCTAGTGATAAGCCAAAATATGCAATTGTAAATTAGTAAAGAGCCATAATAGTTTGTTAGCAGAACTCTTTGTATTCAGTCTTTGTTTCTGCTATAAATCTGATTTATGAACATAGGTATCCTTATATACTAGATTCTAACTGAAATTTGTATTATGGTACAAAACAAATATTTTAACTTTGTTCAACAAGGGATAATGACCAATTAGTTTAGGATTTTTACATGGAATATTTTATTGTTTTGAGGGAAGGCATTATATGCAGGGGAGTATTGAAGCAACTAATTTTTAGCAATAGAACTATGTTATTTTTATTAATGTAAATACACTATAATTAGGAGAAGAAGCTTGGCAAATACCTACTTTCCAAGCTGGGACTGGATTTTTGTAACCAGAAGTTAATTGATTTTGCAGCCACAAAAAATTTCAGGGTCTGTGTCTCTGTTTTCCAATTAATGGAAAACTACCTATTTCAAATTCCTTATATCAAACCTCAAATTTTACATTAAAAATAACAACAAGAATATTTTTCATTTCAATGGCAATTCAGCATCTGATGAAATTTGAGGTAAATAAGCATTTTGTTTCTGTCAATGATACACTAGTTTTCTATATTGCTTTCTGATATACAGACTGTAAAGAAAAGTCTTTTATACCAAGATACAGCAATCCCTTGATTAGCATGGTTTTGAATACCACGGTTTTGATTAACGCGGAAAAAAAATTTGCGACCTATCCTTAATCTACACGGTGCCAGTTTTGATTAGCGCGACTTTTTTTCATGACGCATCATTTTCCCGCCTCTAGCCAGAGGTGTTACGTTCGTAACTAAAGTGTTACTTTTTGCTTATTAGATCTTATGTTGTTACTTTTGTTAATTTTGCTTAACACGGTAAAACTCGGGGATTTATTAACCGCGTTAATCAAGGGATTGCTGTATTGCTACCTTTTTATGTTTTTCTTCAGGCTATCTTGACTTTATGTTGGCTTCTATATTTAATTGCAGGTAAAAATGACTAATTGATTGATTACCATCATGATAGGTAGTTGGAAACTGTTCTCATGAGTCATGAGTACCGTATCTATCATCAGCATTGTATTCTTAGTATCAGACAGCAACATGCAACAAGTACCTACCTTTTGATTATTCACCAACAGCCTATAAATCATAAAAATTTTTGACCGAGAAGCATAATGGCAACCTCAGTCTGACACTATCCTATCTTAGCATCATTGCCTTACCCCGAGCCAAGAATTCATCATCCTTGACCTATGTTGTGCCCTATTCTATGGTCTGGTTCTTTAATAATGCAGTCATGTCAGATCAGGCTATAAAATAAAGACTCAGGTCAATACAAACTTCTTATATTAGAATCAAAGCAAGTGGAAGATAACTATCAAAAGAAATGGCAGATACCATCAAACAGGGTAATAAAGTATGGGCAGGATAAATCAGGACAGTTCTCCTACGTTTTGTAGAAATGTTGCAGCAGCTAAACTAATTGAAATATTGCAAAACTAAAAATAGTGGCTTAAAGTTCAACATTTTTCCTATCTATGTAGCATAAAGCAGGTTAAGCATTCATTTCACATTTACACCTCAAAAAAATCCATGATAAAAGCGTGGAAGTGAGAGTTTTTTTTATATTGCACACTCTTGTTGCATGTTACCACTCTCTCAAGCTGCATTCAATGAAGATTAGTTGATGTGCGTCAGCCCTCCAAACGTCAGTAATCAGAATCGTTCTTGGTCAGACAAAATGTTGAAAGTGATTAGATTATCTATTTTATTCAATGTTGTTGCACAATTGCCATTTAAAATTAGCTTTCCAAAATTTTTGCAGAAGAGGATAGGCTTATTTCTTGTTCAGAAAACAATGGTTGACTCCAAAATAAAAATATGTTCTCCTTTGTCACTATGCTATGGCCTTACTGAGGGCTGTCATTTGAAAAAACTTCCAACTGGGGTCTGGGAGAGCATCAGCTACTGCCCTACTGGTTCAATGATGATAACTCTCCTGAAGTTTGCCAAAGGAGTCAGAGGCTAGTGTTAGACTGTGTTCTTTTCCCTGTATCTGGGCAGGATTTAAGATCTCATCTTCAGAAGTTACCGAGTCAAGAGAGAAATCACAATGGCAGGGTTGGCAATGATTAAATCAAAATGATTAAATCATGTGATTAAATCACTTGATTTTTTATAAAAAATCATGATTTTTTTATTTTTTCTATTTTTTTTTCATATATTTAAATATATTGAGTGGCAGTTTTCAATTTCTATTGAGGTATTGTTATTCATGGTTTAGTATAAATGTACTATGAATGACAAATTGGTACATAAACTTGTTGCCTTTAGTGTGCATTAGGTTCCAATAAATTGAATGTTTTTGGTACCGAGGCATCAAGTGTGCAACACATTGTATGTAGCTAGCAGCTTAGGTAATTCTTATAAGGCTATAAGTAGTCTTTCTATTTGACTATTTATTATAGGTATATTGATTACAATATTGCTAACACATTTGTAATCAATAATATTGATTACAAATGTGTTAGCAATCTTATACAGGGTGGGGGCAGAACTGATTGAACAGTTTTGAGGCAAAATAAAAAAGTAATGTTGGTACATAAAGAAGAAAGTTTATTTTCCTCAAGATTAGCATAACATACCATTTAAAATGCCTATGTTTTGAAAACAATATCAGGAAGATGGGGTTTGTTAGCTGCATCACACTGTTGGAGTCGTTCTCGGAAGTTTTCTACAGCACGTTCACACATATGGCGAGGTATGGCCATAACCTCTGCTGCAATAATCTGTTCCCTTATAGCTGTGGTAGGGTGTGAGGGCCACTTCTTAACTTTGTGAGGGTGACTTCTCTTTTAGATGTCCCCAAAGAAAGAAATCACAAATGCTCAAATCAGGTGACCTAGCAGGCCACTGTAAATCACCCCTCAGAGACACCAGATGTCCGGGAAACATGCGTTTCAAATTATTGAGTGACATTCGGGCTGTGTGAGCTGTAGCCACATCCTACTGTAACCACACATCTCCCAATGCTTCATTTTCAACAATGTTTTCCATCCTGGGTTGCAAGAAATTTTGCAACATTGCAGCATAGCGTTCGGAATTCACTTTCACAGTTACTCCCTCCTCCGAGAACAACTCCAACAGTGTGTTGCAGCTAATGGCCATCATCATCCAGATATTGTTTTCAAAACTTATAAGTATTCTAAATGGTATGTTATGCTAACCTTGAGGAAAATGAACTTTCTTCTTTATGAACGGTTCCTCCATTACTCTTTTATTTTGCCTCAAAACTGCGTAATTGGTTCTGCCCCACCCTGTATGTTGAGAGATTGAGTTTGTATTGACCTTGTAGGCAATCAGAAAGATTTTCCACCCTAATATGAGTACCTATTCTAATTAAAATATTTAATTTCAATCTTTAAATATGTGAATTTAAAACTAGAAACAAAACAATTACAACTATAAGACTATATATAAAATAATTAAATGCAGTAAATGGTTTTAAAATATTTGAATTGTGCACATGTTTATTTCATAGTGTTAGCTTTTCTCATAACTTGAGTCTTGTAAGTTGTTTGAGGTTTGTTTGACTATTGTTTAGTTTATGTTTAGTATTGGTTGATTGGTCTGAATTAAATGGGAACAGTGCAGTCAGTCACTCAGTCACTACTAGTCAGTGTGTATAGAGGGTAGAGTCTGGTAGATTTATAGGACATAAAACTAGTAGATCTATTGATGGTGCTGTGCACTGTGCTATCAGCTACAGTCACTACTAGTCGGTGTGTATAGAGGGTAGAGTCTGGTAGATTTATAGGACATAAAACTAGTAGATCTATTGATGGTGCTGTGCACTGTGCTATCAGCTACCTTTCTGCTATGTGACTCTTCAATGTTTAGAAGATCTGCATTCCTGAAGTATTTTTGTATATTGAGGCCAGTTAAATGGTCAATATTTAGCTTATTACCTTGCTCCATACAAACTTTACAAAGCTAATGAATTAGAGATGCGACGTAAAAAAAACACTCAGGTTTTTTTAAATAAAAAACAAGTTTTTTTAATAAAAAACATCAGCTTAAAAAAAACATGTTTTTTATTGTTTTTTTTAGAAAAACATAAATAAATGCAAATAAATCCATAATCACTTTACCTGAGGGCCACAGGATGATAGGTGAAAGGTCTATGCTGTATCTTAAAATTCCTAATATCATTGAATGACAGCGAAGTCATTTGTATTGCATCATAGCTACTTGCCTATTGCATCATCTTTCAATAAACGTAGCAGGTGCAGGCTGCCAGGCGGCGCCGCAGTGGGTGTAGCGGTAGCGGTAGCGCCCGCTACATTTAGAGCATGTAGCGGTAGCGGTAGCGCCGCTACATTTCCAAGTAGCGCTGCCCAGCTCTGCTAATTGCAACATAAAAAATAACACTTCAAAAAGACAAATAAGCTGAAAAAAAGATAAAAAATCATGAAAAAATAAAAAAATCATTGATTTTTGACCCTGCACAATGGTAATCACCAGCATGAAAATCCCTAAAGTTATTTACTCTAAAGAAGACAGTCCTTCCAAGCAACTGTGCAGAGAGTGGGTGAATATTGCAAGATCTTTGGCAACACTTCAGCAGCAAAATTTACGCCTTCAGAAGATCTTGCCAACACACTTGGATTGAAATTATTGCATTTAAGATATTTGCCAGTCTTTGGACAACTGTTTAGAAAAAAAGTAAGGTTTCCAGTACATTGGATGGATCAGGAAGCAGTGAAGCTTGTCCGGAAATCAGTTGCGATGAGTTACCACCAAAATACCTATAGTGCAAAACGTATCAACAAGTAGTTGCCGACTTGCGGTCACAGCAGAGTGGTCAGACTGCATATCACATGTTCAGATGACACTTAAGTGAAGATAAATGTTAGTGTTGCTATGCAATCATACTGTTTTTAGGGTAAAATTAGTTATTTCAGGTAACATGTGCATGCAACCTTGTAAATAAGTTTGTGGCTTGTAAATGGCTTTTCA